GAGAATGCATTTTATTCTGCTTATGAATGTTTTAATTGCTCAGAAACCCATATACACTTCCAGTGAGATATTAATGTCTTGTTAAGTTTTATATTTTGATCACCATTACAGAAATTATTAATAGATGCATTTTATAAACCTGAGGTTTTCATAATCATAAAGGCAATTTCCTCAATTGTCCAACTGCTTCAAATATCAAGGTCTTTAAGCAAAGATCTTCAGAAAATTTTATAAGTAAAAATAAATTACCAATAAAGAGAGTCAGCTTCTAGTAAATAAATATTTAGTTGTTATTAAACTAATATTTAATTTTAATTTCCTTACAGACTTAAGTTTATTAGCTTGAGGCGAACTTTATTAGTTAAAAATTATTTATCATTTTGAAGTTTTAAAAATATAATTTTGTCAATTTTAAATTGTCACTTTTCTGGTTGAGGCTACCTTAGACATAAAAAGTATCAAACTAGGCCGGGCGCGGTGGCTCAAGCCTGTAATCCCAGCACTTTGGGAGGCCGAGACGGGCGGATCACGAGGTCAGGAGATCGAGACCATCCTGGCTAACACGGTGAAACCCCGTCTCTACTAAAAAATACAAAAAACTAGCCGGGCGAGGCGGCGGTCGCCTGTAGTCCCAGCTACTCGGGAGGCTGAGGCAGGAGAATGGCGTGAACCCGGGAGGCGGAGCTTGCAGTGAGCTGAGATCCGGCCACTGCACTTCAGCCTGGGCGACAGAGTGAGACTCCGTCTCAAAAAAAAAAAAAAAAAGTATCAAACTTCCCAAAAACATTTTGGAGTCATTTCTACTTAGAGAGACAGTATGTCCTTTTAAAAGATCAACTGCATTATAACTTAGATTATCTGATAAAATACCAATTTCAAGAAATGGTCAAAAATAAGGTATTACAGACAGGCATGGTGGCTCACACCTGTAATCCTGGCACTTTGGGAGGCTGAGGCAGGAGGATAATTTGAGGCCAGGAGTTCAAGAAATGCCTAGGCAACACAGTGAGATCCCATCTCTACAAAAAAAAAATTTTTTTTTTTGAGACAGGGTCTCACTCTGTCACCCAGGCTGGAGTACTAGAGCACAGTGGTGCAATCTCAGCTCACTGCAGCCTCGGCTGCCCAGGTTCAAGTGATTCTCCCACCTTAGCCTCCCGAGTAGCTGGGACTACCAGCACACATCACCAAGCCCAGCTAATTTTTGTATTTTTTGGTAAAGGCAGGGTTTCACCATGTTGACCAGGCTGGTCTCAAACTCCCAACCTCAAGTGATCCACCCGTCTCAGCCTCCCTACATGCTGGGATTACAGGTATGAGCCACCGTGCCTGGCCAAAAAAATATTTTTTTTTTGATTAGTCAGGAGTGGTGGTGCGTGCCTCTAGTCCCAGTTAGTTACTCAGGAGACTGAGGCAGAAGAATCGCTTGAGCCCAGGAGTTTGAGGGTGCAGTGAGCCATCACCACACCACTGCAGGCCAGCCTAGGTGACAGAACAAGACCCCAATCTCTAAAAAACAACAACACGAAGTTAGTCTTGCGTTAAGAAAAGAAACAACCCCAAAATGTGAATCAAGAGCCTTGACAGTGATTGAAAGTAATTATTTAACTTATCTTAAAATCCAGGTTTGAATATAAAAAATGTTTACCAAATGTGCTTAATTTCTCCCCATTATAGAAGAAATGTGACACTTCAAACCTTTGATTATGGTATATGCACTTCATACATTGCATTTTTACAGATTTTAGTCTAACCAGTAATTCAGAAAGGCATTAAAACAAAACATAAATTGAAACTTTATTTTTATATAAAAATTTATCACACTGTTTGAGTTCATTTTTTAAAAATACTTTTGTATTTGCCATTGAAACTGTTGAGGCTCTCAAATTCCATAGCTAATGACTGTGTTTCTTTAGCTGAATAATTCTTTCAACTAAAGACATTAAGTGTACAGAGTCATCTTTCAGCTCTTGTAGCTGCTTCTTCTGTATATTAGCAACAAGAGTGTGAAAACAGAAACAACAGGACTCTAAGTTGAACAGAGGCTTTCATTTCATGGTAAGCCTGTTTTACACCTACAATGAGTGACATCAGTCTTTCTTTCTTACAAAACGTATTATAAGTAAAATAGGATATAATAATAGGTTATCTCAGCAACAGAAATATGACTCACAAGTAGAAACAGAAACATGGAAAACACAAGTGCTTCTTCTAACAGAACAATCTGTATACTGATTATTTCAAGTTTTATGACTGTATACTAATTTCAAAGAAGTATGTAGGCCAAGCACCTTACACGCCAAACACCTTACAGAACTGAAGACATTCTAAGTAACAGTTTGCCTATATTCTTTCACAAATATCCCCCCTTAATGGCCTCCTCACACTAAAATGTGATAATAAATACATTTTCATGGAGCCAGGTATGGGGAAACAGAAAAAGAAAGCAATAGTAATTTGAACCGAAGAGAAGATGGTGCGAAAACTGAACTCCTGAAAGCATGACTGGTCTGCTAACCAAGGACATGAAGAGTACTAATAAGGAATTTCCTCATTAAAGAGTGAAAGAATGAAACAGCCAATGTAGAAGTGTATACTCTGCTAAAATAGACTTCGAGATGAAAGTGAGGATTCTCCCATTTCTAGCCATGATCAAGTTAACTGAAACCAGACTAGCTCTCTTGACATTAACAACTATAAAACTGCACACTGAATAAAACATATGAAGTCACTGTGTTTAGGTACCAGACAACAGGTAGCACAAGACTGCAATTCCTGAGGGGATGGACATTTACAGGGTGAGCCCTTAGATAAACAAGTTATTTGCCAAAGAACAGTTTCCCAACTGCAGTGCAGATAGCTGGGATCTGAGCAGAGGACAGCAGTTCTGCAGCAATGAGGACATTCAGGGCAGCTGGTGAGGGTGGAGTCTCTGAGGTATGGTATCAAAGAACTGTGCAGAGGTAAGCACCAGATGTCCTTGTGGAGTCTTCCCCAAATTCCTGGCTGAGGGCGAGGCTGCATCAATGCACAGACAAGACTATCCAAGGCTTACCAGAGAGGTAAGCCTTAAGGAAGAACTATCCCAGAATGGAGGAGAATAAGAAAACACAATAACGAATTGCAACACTGGATTCTGGATTGCACCATAAGGTGGACAGCAGTGGGACAACTGATGAAGCTCAAATAAGGTCTGCAGATCAGTTAACAGCATCATGTCAATATTAGTTTTCTGGTTTCAATAATTTTATTAAGGCTATGCAACATTAGAGGAAGCTGAATGAAAAACACCAATTCACCATACTATTATTGCAACTTCTTTGTAAGTCTAAAATTATTTTAAAATAAGTTAGTAGTTTAAATGTTGCATATAAAAACGCAATAACGATAATGAATACTTCCTAACGATGCGATCAGGATGCCTTCACATGCTCCCTCACACCTGAAATAAGTGTTATGTATCTAAGGCTCTCTCTTCAGCGTTTTGTATCTAAGGCTCCCCTGCCCTTTGGTGTGGCCTGGTTTAGCCAGTCCAAACCAGATGCAGATAGTTGTGTGGGAAGCTTGACGACAGACAGTTACACTATCATCCACAAGATAACTGGTCAATTGTGGGCTGGGCTTAAAAGGTGGGCTGATGATCCCCAGTACATGATGAGCATGGCAGTAAATGCACAGGGAGACTAGGTTCCCATCCACCAAGGGAAGCCTGCGCTAGAGTGTCCACCTGGACAGGAAGTGATGGACACAGTCCTGAAAGCACAGCAGGCACTTCTCCCACCCACCAATGGGCAGCCTGCCTGGAGAGTCAGCCGTGGACATCAAAGCTGGAATTCCCTTTCTGGCTCAGCAAAATTACCAGAGACCAAACCATAAACACCACAGAACTCCTTTACCTAGTCAACACTGTCTGACTTTTTCGTGACGTAAGTCTCAAACCAAGAACACCAACAGGGACAGGGCCACACATCTCAACACTGACACCACACCCCCTTGACACTCAGAATGCTTAAGTCCTGAATCACAAGATCTCAACTTCTTTTTTGGAAAGGTGTTTCTTTATCTCATGATTTACAAAGATACAAAGACTTGATCAGAAGGACCAAAATACTTTCTGAAATTAGAAACAAAATTATTATAACATTCAAATAGAATCATTCCCACGAACAAACTGTGACTCACAGAATTTAATTACTAAGTAGCTGTCGTTTTTACACCTCTTTCCTTTTAAATTTATTCTTTTTTATTTTAAAAAATAAATAGAGATGGAGTCTCCCTATGTTAACTCGCTATGTTGATGAGAATGGTTTCAAACTCCTGGCCTCAAGTGATTCTCCCATCTCGGCCTCCTAAAGTGCTGGAATTACAGGCATGAGCCACCTCTCGCAGCTTAAACATATTCTGTAGTGCTAGTTCTTCCCCCGCCCCAGGATAAAAGTTAGGTCAAATCCCATTAATTTTTCTGGTCATTTTATTTAATAAATATCTGCCCGTGACTCATTTAAAATGGCCTTACGTATATAAAAGTGAAAACGACAATCTTGATTTAAACTTACATTTTCACTGTCTCTTCCAGTTCTGATCTGCAGTCAGGTGGAAGCCTGAACTCGAGGAAGGGAAGGCCCTCTGACTCATGATTTCCGACCTAGCACGGTTAAGAATCTTCCCCCATTTGCTGACTTAGTTTCTGAATCTACTGTGTTTAGGGCTCAAGGAGAGAAGCCAGGGAGCAATAGAGTTCTTCCTTGACGGGCAGCATTGTGGTGATCTAACATTGACACTGTCCTGAGGTTGCAAATACTTGAAACTGACTCTTTCCTTTAGGGGCGACTTTTGGCTTCTAGGCAGAAATCTCTCATCTGAGCTTCCTTTGATGAGGGCAATTTCATCTGGATATTTACAACCCTTATCCACCATGCAAAGTTTCTGATTCAAATCCAGGCTGCAACCGAGCTGACAGGAGTGGTGCAGACAATGATGTAGCCAAAGCAGATAGGTACCTGCCATTCACCGACGTACAAATGTTTCCAAAGCGCCTGAGGCCCGGAAACTCCGGTGGCTGGTTGGGGGATCATGGCCAGGGGCGGAGGAGAACATCTGAGCCCCTGTGTGACCTGGGTCTCATTCGGGCTATGGGGGTGCAAACAGGTTCCAATCCGCGAGGAGGATGCACTAAAGTGACCCGCTTAGGCTGCAAAACCAGGTGCACTGTGGCAGGCACGACTCGCTGAGCTCCATTTTGGAGGCGGGGAACCCTGAGGCGGCGACTTGACACCCCTCCTGGGCAGCCAGAACAAACCATTGCGGAGGATTCTTGTCCCACGCAAGGAGCGACCTCAGCCATGAACTCTGCAGCATCCCAAGTGTCCAGAACGCCCGGAAGTGGCAACGCCTACTGACACCAAGGCGGCTACTGAAACGGAAACTTCGTGGCCAAGGCCGCCTCACCCATGCGCCTGCGCGAGCTCTACTGATGACGCCTGCGCACTGCAAGGTGGGCGCCGCTCTCCAGTTTCTAAGCAGTCTCCTACTGCCGTCTAGTGTTGGCTACTGGAATATCGGCTAAAATTCCCCCAGAGAGAGTGCCTCGCAGGCCTTTTGACTAACAGTTGTGAATTGATACACTGCTATGTTTGCTGCATTTTACAGTGAGCCTTGACCCCACAATTGAATGCTATTATAACCCCTACAAAAACTAATTGACAAAAAAGACCAATGGGTTAGAGTGTGAAGGGCACTGGGTAATACAGGTCCAGGTGGTCTTATATTAAACTTGTTAATCCAAGTCCATGGAAGTCCTGGGAGGAAAAGGTTCTCAACAGATCTTAGGGCCGCTTCGTAAGTTGGCCTCAGGTGATCTTCTCTCAACACTGATTCGTTGGAACCATCCTGGGTTAAATTAATATGGAATGTGTTATCAGGCAACATTGTTTACCATTAAAAAGCCCCTCAGTATGTACTTAAAAGGACTGTGACTGGACACTTAGACCCAGATGACTCTGTAACCTGGACTACAAAAGAAAAAAAAGTTTAAAAAATAAGCCTTGGTTTTCCACAGTGGAGTTTCTTGTTACTGAGTATAACACTTGTATGCTTTGGAAGCTACACTTAAAGGCGGACAGAAGCTCATGGTTCCTGTCATGTATTGGCTATTATTTTTGCTTGGCTAAACTGCACCGTTGCTCGGTGGAGTCACCAGATATGGGAGTGACGAGCTTCAGATGATGCCAGTCTCAGTACCAATTCTCTTCAATCACATAAGAGACCTTAACTGAGAACCATCTGGCTGAGCTGGGTCAATCCTCAGAACTGTGAGAGGTAATAATAAAGTTATTGTTGTTGCTTTCAGCCATTAAGTTCTAGGATGGTTTGTCATGTAGCATTGGATAACCTGAACCTTTCCACTACATGATGACGGTTTTAATCAAATATGCACAAGGATATGCAGCTGAAAACCCAAAATGCCATTCAGTATGGGTCTAGGCACAAAGTAGGACGAATTCTGAAAACGTCGTATTTTGATGCAGAAGAGAGTTGTACTTAATTCATATTGCAAACAGTGGATAGAAAAAAAAATTGTGGAAGAGCTTACAATGGAATTGAGATGGAGAAAGTTGGGAGGACATAGAGGTGGATTTGATTTATTTGATGGATGCTACCCTAACACTTTGGTAAAATCAATTTGCAAAATCAATCATTTGGCATAGGTAGGAACTTCCTGCAGTTGAGCCCCTGGAATGATGGATATGCTTAATGTCAATAAATTTTGGAATTAATCTCATGATTATCAGACAATCCCATATTTGTCTTCATCCCATAATTATCTGAAAATTTTGCTTGTCGTGCCTCTACTGTCCCTCAAGCCATGGACGCAGAGTTTATTCCCACGTACAGGTTTCTCTTTCCCATGAACAAATGTTATAATGCCCCTCGACACTCCCAACTTCACTTTCAATTGTATCAATCTCTTTGAATAATCAATTTGTGTCTTTGCTGATTTTCTCAATTGTATGTCTGTTTCCTACTTGCAACCACTATGTAAGATCAGCAGCATACTTCCTGAGTTCAGATTGACATTCACATGCAAAAGACAACATAGCTTTAGCTTGGCACCAGGATTTTAAAAACAGAAAGGACATCTAACATGTCAACATGAAAGAGTTAGATTCATCTTTATTGGGAATACTTACAACTATCGAGGTGTTGCTTTCCAGCCGCCAAAATAGGCAGTTCAATTGAAAGGAGTAAGACCGTCTGGTTGGTGGTATGGACCATTCCTCAAACAGGACAGGCAAAAATAGCTTATATCAGTTTATGAGTGTAGCTCCCAACATACACAACTGTCATGCTCAGTAACAAAAGACTCCACCCATGGCAGCCAAGACTTAATTCCTACACCATGTTTTGTAGTTCAGGTTATGTAATCTTTCTGAGGCTATGTGTCTACTCACGTCCTTGTAGTCCAGATCAAGGGTCTTTTAAATGATAAACAATGTTGCCCGATAACACAGGCAGTACTCCACATTAATTTTAACCCAGTATGTTTCCAAATCAAAGAAATCGGAAATGTAGCTTCCCGTTCCAAAATGGTGTCATAGAAGCAAGCTGGCTTCACTCCCCCAACTCCCACAGAAAACCAAAACCAAATATACAGTGCAGAGATTAACACCAGAAATATCCAATAACTCAAATATGAAGACAGAACAGTTCCCAGGGCCACAGAGAAGTGAAAAGAACTCTGAGCAGAGGGTAAGAAAATCCGACTTCCACATTTGTGACTCCCCTCCCTCCATTCTGCAGGGCACCAAACTTGTGGAATATTTTCCCCCAATCCACTGTTTCTACACTAGGAAAAAAGATCAAGGTGAACAACCAGTTTCCCCACTATCTTGGGTTCCCTGGCAGGAGACCTGTCCTCTATTTTTTTTTTTTTTTTTTGTCACCCAGGCTGGAGTGCAGTGGCCGGATCTCAGCTCACTGCAAGCTCCGCCTCCCGGATTTACACCATTCTCCTGCCTCAGCCTGCCGAGTAGCTGGGACTACAGGCACCCGCCACCTCGCCCAGCTAGTTTTTTGTATTTTTTAGTAGAGATGGGGTTTCACCATGTTAGCCAGGATGGTCTCGATCTCCTGACCTCGTGATCCGCCCGTCTCGGCCTCCCAAAGTGCTGGGATTACAGGTGTGAGCCACCGCGCCCGGCCCCTGCCCTCTATCTTAACCCATGGGAGGCACCAAGAGTGCTTAAAGGGAGAAATACCCCTAAGGACAGAGGTGGGAGGTGGGTCTACTGTCCCCAGCCTTGGAAACTCTGCTCTGTAACTCAGCCAAAGCAGACAGCAAATCAGCGTCTGCTCAGCAGCACCACACTGTAGAAGGTTCCTTCTACAGCTACCCTGGGAATGAACCCCTAGCCAGGCTTTCCACACTGCTGAGATATTCCCTTTTGGGACCTCCCACATGCCAGAACGGCAGTGTTCCCACAGATTATTAGAGCTGAGGCAAATCTCTGCTTAAGGGTCCACCTAGACCTGAAAAGGAGGCAGTGATTTAGCATTAAAGAACCTCTAAGCTTGCGAACAAAATGGCTGACTGCGCCTGGTGGCTCATGCCTGTAATCCCAGCACTTTGGGAGGATGAGACAAGTGAATCACTTGAGTGCAGGAGTTCGAGACCAGCCAGGGAAATACAAAAAAAAAAGAAAATAATCAATAAAATGACAGTTCTCACCTATTAAAAATAACCTTGAATAGAAATGGACTAAATTCCTCACTGAAAATGTATAGACTAGATGAATGAATTTTATAAAACAAGACCCAGCTATGTACTGCCTACAAGAAATTCATCTCATCTATAGAGACACACATAGACTGAAAGTGAAAGACATTCCATGCAGATGTAAACCAAAAGTGAACACGAGTAGCTGTACTTATATCAGACAAAACAGACTTCAAGTCAAAAGCTGTAAACAGAGACAAAGATATTATATAATACTAAAGGAATCCATTCAACAAAAGAATATAATTCTAAGTATTAATATATATGCATCCAACACCACAGCACACACCTATCTAAAGCAAATATTATTAGATCTGAAGGGAGAAGTAGATCCCAAAACTATAATTGTTGGAAACTATACGAATACATGACAATTGAACAACATGCTCCTGAATGACCCATGGGTGAAGGAAAGAAATAAGAATGAAGTTTTAAGATTCCTTGAACAAAACAGAAATAGAAACACTACATACTAAATAAAACCTATGGGACACAACAAAAACCGTATTAAGAGCTAAGTTTACATTAATAAATGCCTACATCAAAAAACTAGAAAGATTTCAATTAAACAACTTAATAATGCACCTCAAGGAAAAGAAAAACAAGAACAAACCAAACCCAAAATTTATACAAGGAAAATGATAAAGATCAGAGCAGAAGTAAACAAAATTGAGACTAAAAAAAACAAAGATCAATGAAACAAAAAGTTGGTTTTTTGAATAGATAAACAAAATTGATAACCTATTACTTAGACTAAGGAAAAAGAAAGAAGACCCAAATAAATAAAAGCGGCTACAAAAAAGGTGGCATCACAATGGAAACCACAGAAATACAAAGGATCACTAGAGATTACTATGAACAATAGTAACTAGAGATTACTATACACCGATGGATTCAGAAACTTAGAAGAAATACATAAATGTCTGTATACATATAGCCTACCAAGACTGAACAAAAAAGAAAGAAGAAATACAAAACCTAATAGACAACAGCAAATAATGAGATTGAATCAATAATAAAAAGTCTTCCAACAAAAATCCAGGACTTGATGGCCTTGTTGCTAAAGTCTACCGAACTTTTAAAGATGATTTAATAGCAATTCTTCTCAAACTATTTTTAAAAATTGAATCAGAGGGAATTATTCCTTACTCATTTTATGAGGCCAGCGTAACCCTGGTACCAAAACCAGATAAAGACACAAAAACCACAAAAAAACTACAGACTAATATCCCTCATGAACATAGATGCAAAAATCCTCAATAAAATACTACCAAACCAAATCCAACGATACATCTAAAAGATCATACACCATGATTAAACCAGGAATGTAAAGATGGTTCAATATATGCAAATCAATAAATTTGATACATCAATAGAATGAATGATGAAAACTACATAATCATCTCAATAGATGTAGAAAAAGCATTTGATAAAATTCAGCATCGCTTCATGATAAAAATTCTCAATAAAGTAAGTAGAGAAGGAAATTACCTCAACATAATGAAGGCTGTATACAACAAACCCACTCACAGCTAACATAATACTGAATGGGGAAAAACTGAAAGTTTTTCCTCTAAGAACTGAAATAAGACCAGGATGCCTACCCTCAGCACTCTTATTCGGCATGGTACCGGAAGTCTTAGCCAGAGCAATTGGAAAAGAAAAA